GGAAATCAGATGCTTGGCTCAGACAAGTTAATCCATAAGCAGTCTGGCGCATTTCATACGTTTCTGTAGCATTTTTGTCCAGTTTAACACAAAACTTTATTGCATAGCGAGCTTTCAAATTGTCTTCACCTCCTGATTGCATTCTGCGAATTTGTTCGCTTTGACAATCCGTAGTGTGACCTCAAAGAGCTTTTGCAACCGTCTCCTTTCATGTGGAATAACAATAGATGTATAGTAATTATATATTAAAGCTACAATAACTTAAGAGAGTTATAATTGCCTCTCCAAAAATGTCTTGAGTGCACCTGGTATTTAAAAGTAACACAAATAGACGTGAATAAAAAAAGAGTGTGTAATCTTCTATGTGCCGTATCCCTTCAGGACGATGGCGATCATGGCTCTCCACAATTTCCTAACGTTTATAGTTTAATTTTTTTTGTTTTTGTTATATCTCCTAAACCTTATTCCACCATCAATTTACCCAAGCTAGCTAGGTATCTATGGTGATTTTCTAAGCATAGCTTAGATGTGACACAAGGCCGGAAATGCAGAGCACCCACTGAGTATTGAACTCATTACTCAGTCGTAATTGGTCTAGGGAGACAAGCTTACTAACCATTACACCACGTCGAAGTGCTTAGCGATTTTCCATGCGTAGCTTAGATGTGGCACAAGGTCGAAAGTATGGGACACCCAGTGAGGATCGAACTCATTACTCACTGATAATTGTTCTGTGTGGCACAAGGCCGAAAGTATGGGACATCCAGTGAGTATCGAACTTACTACTCAGTCGTAATTGATCTAGCGAGACAAACTTGGTAATCATTACACCAAGTCGAAGTGCCCTTTTCTACTAAGCATAGCTTAGATATGGAACAAGGCCGAAGGTATGGAGTACTCAGTGAGGATCAAACTCACCATTCAGTCTTAATTAATCTTGCTAAGCATTACACCACGCCAAAGTGCCCTCTCGCTAGGTAGAGTATGCGTTGTTTTCCTCTTGTTTTCAATCTGTCCTGTGTGTATCAAATTTTCCAAGCATTCTTTCCTCATTATGTATCCTAGAAATTTCAACTGTCTCTTTCTGATGTTAAGTATAAGTGTCCATTTTTGTTTCCATTTTCTCTAAAACTTCGTCTTTACTCACAGGTTCGGTCCATATACCTTTTATTCACTTAACAATATTTACAGGCGGTATAAGATTTATTTTCGTACTATTTTAAGTAAGAATCTCTAATGCCCGCTCTAATATCGTCTTTGAATTTATTATCCATTTTCTGTTAATGTAATGTTACAAGGCAATTGTTGCAATATGAGTCAAGCTAAGGTCTTGTTAAACTTAAAACAGTGGGACCTGTCGCACAACTCGATACGGAACATTTACTTTCGATCGACCGATTGTTGTCAGTAAGGGGAGTCAACTTTAAAGTACAAGAGCAAGAGGCTCAAACTTAGAGAAAGTCACAGAAGGAACGAAGTGGGCCTCGTAGAAAGATATAGACGACGGCCACATATATATGTAAATAGTTACAATACCTCTTCTCAGAAATATACACAGATCCTGAAGAAGGCCGGAGCGTACGACGACAGAAACGTCGTGAATATTGCAATAAAGATAATGACAACAGTCCGAACAATGTAAATAGTGTAAATAGTTACAATACCTCATCTCCCAAATATACACAGATCCTGAAGAAGGCCGAAGCGTACAATGACAGAAACGTCGTGAATATGGCAATAAATATGAGAACAACAGTCCGAACGGTGAGAGATTGTTCTAATTTCCTCACTTACGCATCAACCCTACTTCGCTCACTTATATCAGTAAACCTTAGAATAAATTCTGGTTTAAATTTTAAGCCATGGGCGTTTAACTACAAGACACTGCACCATGTCAACAAATCTGGTGTCTGGTCTGAGCTGCAGCGCAACACAATGTAGGCATGTTATGGCGGGAAGTATGACGTGTAATGGGGACGTATCATAAGACAATGTCCGTTACACCATACATCTATTATGGTTTTCAGTAAGGATTAAAAGAAAAGACATAGAACGTTACTACATAAAAAATAGATATTTATATAACATAATATACGAGGTTCGGTCAAAAAGTATGGGGACTGTTGCTATGATAACGGAGCTTGAGTACGCAAAGTGAAGCCGCTTCGAACAGACAGACCATGAACTCTGTCGCACATGCGCACTAAGTTATAACGTTCTCGCTCATTTCCGTCGTTAATAGCAGTGCTTGGAAGGAAAGTGTTTAGTGTGTGGTCGTCTAATCACACCACCGCACAGAGGTTCCATCAATGACCATGGTTGTGCAGCAGTTTTTGGTAAAGGACAACATTCCCCACGTCCGACAAACACCATATTTCCTAGATATTGCCTCTTGCGACGTTTTTTTCTCCTTTCCAGAAATCGAATCCCACTCGTCGAGACGTCGAGGAAATCCAAAGAATTCGACGAGGCATTAGCTCGCTATCCCCCACCCCCAAAAATAAAAATAAAATAAAATAAAAAACTGGAGTCCCAAGAATGCTTCCATCAGTGGAAACGACGCTGGTTAAAGCGTGTGGCTTCATAAAGGAACTGCTTCGAAGGAAATTAAATGCCGAACAGGTATGTGTTGCAGTTTTTTTGTTTTTTTTTTGTAGCACGAGTGTCGATACTTTTTGATCAGACCTCGGATATACAGAAGGATAGAATAAAAAGAAGTTTAAGAGTTCAAATGTAAATGACTTCGTACATACAAAAGAGAGAGAGAGAGAGAGAGAGAGAGAGAAAATCCGGAGAATGTAAATATATATGTATATGTATGTATGTATTCAAATGTATTAGCCAACAGCTTAATAATGTAGATGAAAGAAGGGTCGCCAGTGTGTCGCGCATGTGTCGTATTTACACCGCATCGGAGAATGGATGCAATTAATTTATCGATACTGATTTAGGTTGATTATCTATCTCATTATATACATATCTAGAGATCACTTCGAAACTGCCGAAAAAGGCTCACGATTAGTGGCCTTTTATCCTGGGTGGAGGCAGCTCTCATTTCTGATTCACTCGCTAGACTAGGATGTTTGAATCCCGGTCGGGACGGCTTCTGATTGGTTGGTTGATATATGACGTCATGGCTACCGATTCTAATACACATTTATTATCTGAGATGGTGAAATTTTCGCCACCTTTTTATTATTTATGTGTTTTTATTTATTTTTCTATCATCTACAAAAAAAAAGTTTTAGAACCTCTATTTAACGTTACAGAAACATTGTAGCCAGTGGCGGACTGGGTTTAAAAATAATTGTTGCTAGATGACAAAGTGGGCCCACCTACAATACTTTCATTTAATTTTCATAACAAATAAATAAAATAAGTCTCACCTACATTCCTTTTTACATCCGTTTAATACTGCTTCATACACTGAATAATTATTTGTTTGTTTCTTTACTTTTTTTTATTTGGTATTGCTCATATTAAAACAGTTATATTTTATTAAATTAGAATACAAAACTTAAGAAAAAAAAAAAGAAGATATATATACACAATTTACATTGTTCGGACTGTTGTCCTCGTCTTTATTGCCATATTCACGTTTCGGTCGTTGTACGCTCTGGCCTTCTTCAGGTAATATTTGTCAGAATTTCAAACCGAAACCCTTTATTTAGTCCACGGGGTAGAGTGTTCTAATTCCACATGCCATGCCTTTTTTTTATTGAATATCTCGGTTTAAATTAATTCCGTTAAGTAACTCATTTCTTCAAGTTTTTGTTCCCTCGGCTGTACCCAGGTATTGAACACACAACTCTTTGGGTCAATTCATTCTTTGGATTACTCAACCAACGCTTTTATCCACTGGACCATGTGTATCACCCGAAAAAGGCTGGAGCGGAAAACGGCTGAAACCTCATGAATATGGAAATAAAGGTGAGGACAACAGCCCGAACGATGTAAATAGTTACAATACCTCTTCTCAGAAACATACACAGATCCTGAAGAAGGCCGGAGCGTACGACGACAGAAACGTCGTGAATATTGCACTAAAGATAAAGACAACAGTCCGAACAATGTAAATAGTGTAAATAGTTACAATACCTCATCACACAATTATAGACATGTTGAAGGCGAATATGGCAATAAAGATGAGGACAACAAACAATGTAAATAGTGTAAATAGTTACAATACCTCATCTCACAAATATACACAGATCCTGAAGAAGGCCGGAGCGTACAACGACAGAAACGTCGTGAATATGGCAATAAATATGAGAACAACAGTCCGAACGGTGAGAGATTGTTCTAATATGCCATGTCTTTGAATATCTCAGTTTCAGTTAATTTCCCTTGATAACTAAACTCTTAAAGCTTTCGTTCCTTCTGTTGTGGCCAGGTTTTTAGCTCACAACTATTTGGGTCAAGTCACTTTTTGGGTCAATGAACCAACGCTTTTACTGGGTCATATGTCCTCGGGGACATAAGTGACTATATTTTGGGGTCTTATAAACCTAATGTCTCAGTAAACATTTTTTTTTTACCTGAGCTCATATTATTGAATTTATTAGATATTAGATTTATTTATCTAATTAATTATAATTTTTAAGGGACCTTCAAAGATTCACGGTTCCTAACTTAGCTTTCCGGCTCCGAACCGATCTACCATAGATTCAAGACTACTGCTTGATATCCTTTGAAATTGCTGACCCTCTCAAATCACGTCTTGTATCTTTATCTTTAAATTCACGCAGAGCCTGCTAAGAAAGTAGAGATTCCTTAATTATGCCCGACTCCAGCTCCCCTTAGTCTTATGCCCGACCCCAGCTCCCCTTAGTCTTATGCCCCACCCCAGCTCCCCTTAGTCTTATGCCCCACCCCAGCTCCCCTTAGTCTTATGTCCGACCCCAGCTCCCCTTAGTCCTTCCACTATCTCATCTGCTTCGTTTCTTTCCATGCACTGCTTATTTGTGTCTGTTTCTTTTCTTTCTTTTTTTTTTCTTGGCTTACGGCCACATCACCTTGAAACACCAGTTCCCGTACGATCACCGAAGTTAAGCAACGCCGAGCCTGGTCAGTGACCACTTGGGAATACCATGTGATGTAAACTTGGATGTGCGAGAGGTGTAATGGATAATGATTCGGAATTGTTAATACGAGAGCCGGGTTTCAATTCATATTGGATTTAGTTTGGTTTGTTTTACGGTATATCAACCTCAATGGGTTGGTTATTTAATGCCGACCAGATTTATATTTCTGGTAATATTTCTTTTTCCAAAAATGTATTTCTGGTAATATTTCTTTTTTCAGAAATGTATTTCTGGTAATATTTCTTTTTCCAAAAATGTATTTCTGGTAATATTTCTTTTTTCAGAAATGTATTTCTGGTAATATTTCTTTTTCCAAAAATGTATTTCTGGTAATATTTCTTTTTTCAGAAATGTATTTCTGGTAATATTTCTTTTTCCAAAAATGTATTTCTGGTAATATTTCGTTTCAGAAATGTATTTCTGGTAATATTTTTTTATTTTCAAAAATGTAATGCTGGTAATGTATTGCTGATAATTTTTTCTTCAAAAATTAATTGCTGGTCATAATTTTTACAAAAATGTATTGCTGGTAATAAAACCTATTTTTACACGTTTTGACCCTAGTTTAGGGGTTAACTATTTGTCCACAGCTGGGACCCTAACAGATGCTACCACCCAGGGTCAGGGTGGACCTGGGAACCCCAGCAATTAAGAGGTGGTTCCACCCTTCTCAAAATCTCCTAATCAGAGGACTTTCTATCGGATGTAGTTTATCGTCTTACTCATGACAGCCTATTGGGTTTGTTATATTCACTTGAGAAAAGGTATGACTTCACTTCTCCCCACTCAGCTGTAGGTTAATTAGTATCACTAAACAATTATTATCTCCCCACAAAATTCCTAGAATCTAAAAAAAAATCTGGCTTTAAATAACCTGCAAAGGGTTGATAAGACGTAAAAAAAACGAATCTTTTTTTTTTCTTATTTGTTTTGATTACTAAAACATTTGTCCGTGTTTGTTTCTTTATACCATTTTTATTTGATACCACACTGCCCATAAACCCGATGGATTGCTTTTAAAAGCAGTTCATGATACAAAATTCCATTCAAATATTAGTAGCCCCGAATACTTTATGAAAAGAATACTTAAATAAAAAACGTTCTTAGCTTGAAGAACCCTAATTTTAACTAAATTTGGTACTGCACGCGGCAGGGGTTTAAGATACAATCTGATTCTAAATTGGTTGGGGTATTATATATTGTTTAAGCAGCATCTCGGAAACACATACATACATACTAGATTAGACTTTTAGTATAATATATATTGGAAGCCCACTTCATCAAGGGCCCACTTGCCACCGGACAAGCTGACACCCTGTTCAGCCCGCCATTGGTTGTAGTAACGTCATCTTTTTAGCTGGGTAAGTTAATATTCGTGGGTGATCGTCACTATTAATTTGTTTACGTGAATTCTATAGAAAGTCAAGGTCTTCTTTACGTCTGAAAACAATCGTTCCAATTGTCAAGAAGAATAGAGTCGATCTTTAATTTATGGTCTGCGATGATCATTTTTAATGTGTGTATATTCAACAATAAGTGTTTGTTCTCTAATCGAGCAAGATGTCCTGATAGAAAGCCCTTGTTAAAATGTACTGCTGTATTAGACAATCAGCTTGTCACTTCGACTGAAAAGCAAATTTCCCGTTCACCTTTCTCGGCTGTGAAGCATCTAAAGATTTCTCTTTGACCCAAATAGTTGTACAGATAACAAGTGTATTCGACATTAAAAGTCTGCAACTTGATCAATAAATCTGTAACTTGTCATTGTTATTCGACGGAATTTTTTTTATATGTCCGTAACTTTGAGAAAAAAAATTGATGGAAGTTTATCGGAGTCGGACAGGCTTATATTCAAAGAATTTTCAAAGAGAAAGAACATTATCAGCTTAAAATTCATATTATAATTATTTGCAAATAATAATCATCATTAAGCTTTATGATATTTATTAGTTACTAGTAGCATGATCCGGCGTTGCCTGGGCTTGTTTCAAAAATCGTACGACTCATACAGCAATCGCTATCACTTGACTTAAAATATTTTTGCCCTTCTTTGCCTTTAAAGGAGTGCCTTTTGCCGTGCTGATGTTGCTACATGCCTTACTTCTTGCCTATCTCACACTGCGAATTTTTTCTAAGCTCTATACTAAACATTAAATCTGTTACGAAAAAAGAGCTAAACAAAATAAACACAAAACGATCAGCTTTAAAAAAAAAAGGACTCGCAACTGGAAAAACCGAATGAAAAAAGAATGTTAACAATAAATACTTTTTCACACCCAACCCAGTTCTGCGGAATCAGAATCAACGTGCCTTTTATAGATAGAGATCATCATAATTAAAGTATGCCACTATGGATGATGGAGGATGGAGGAGAGTGCAGATAAGTTAAGAATTCTCTGCTTACTCCTATTTTTTTCTTTCTTTTTTTAATCGTATCAGCCCATATAAGGCAGTAAAGCTTAGGGATTATCGAGAGACTACGAGAAAAAGAAAACTTTATTAAGGAGAGAGTATAATAAAAAAAGAACAGAAATTAAGAAGATAACGACTGACATTGCAGTTAAGTTTTCGAAGATTGATCGGAAAGTAAGAAGCCGGTAGAGAGTTTCACAAGCGATAAGTGCGTGAGAAGAAAGTGTAGGCATAGAACTTGCGGTTACATCTAGGTATTTTAACTGTAAAATGACGAGATCTTGCCGCCAATTTTGTACTGCTCTTACATTCATATTGTTTTTTTGAAGATCTCCAAAGATACATTGCAATATGCAGTGATTGCCATGTAAATAAGAAAGGACATTCTGTTTTGTGGTCATTGATCACAATGTCTGGGCGATTAGTATTCATTTTCTGTCTCTGTGTATTGTAAAGTCCCATAAAATTGTATACAGGTCGTATCTCTGTAACCGGGTCTAGATTATGTTCGCATCATTTTGTTGTAGTTTCCTTCCCGTAAAAATTGCGTATTTTTCAGTGCAGATAATGACCCACTGTATCATATCGTGTTTTATATTCAGTGGGTGCTAGCACTGCGCAACCTGCTACAAGATGATCAATTGTTTCTGAATATTTATCACAAAATCTGCATTTCTGGTTAACACAGTTTTCAGTATATATGCTAGGCAATTTCTTCTTCTTCTTCTTCTTCTTCTTCTTCTTCTTCTTCTTATTATTATTATTATTATTATTATTATTATTATTATTAAATAATAATAATAATAATAATAATGTTTAATGGATGTCCTCAAGGACACATGGCACAGTGGATAAAGGTGTTAGTTAGATCCAGTGATAGGACCCAAAGAGTGTGAGTTCAATACCCGGTTAAGGCAGTGGAGAACTTTCAGAGGGAAATTAACAGGAAATAACTGATAACTGACATCCATTAAACATGGCACATGGAACTAGAACAGTCTACCCCAGTGAGCGAAATAAAGGGTTCAGTTCGACATTCCAACCACCTGAAGAAGGCCGGAGTGTACACCGAAACGTTGTAATAAATAAGGCGACAAAAATAAGGACAATAGTCCGAATATTGTAAATAATGTACATAATATCTCATCTCAGAAATATACACAAATATACACAATATGCAGTGATTGCCACGTAAATAAGAAAGGACATTCTGTTTTGTGGTCATTGATCACAATGTCTCGGCGATTAGTATTCATTTTCTGTCTCTGTGTATTGTAAAGTCCCATAAAATTGTATACAGGTCGTATCTCTGTAACCAGGTCTAGATTATGTTCGCATCATTTTGTTGTAGTTTCCTTCCCGTAAAAATTGCGTATTTTTCAGTGCAGATAATGACCCACTGTATCATATCGTGTTTTATATTCAGTGGGTGCTAACACTGCGCAACCTGCTAACAAACAATTTTCAAACAATTCTTCAAACAATTTTTTAAATGTTCAAAAGCAATTTCAATGATTTAAAAATACAATTTGTTTATACAGTAAATATTGTTATTTCAACTTTCTTCAAACAGACAATTTTTAATGTTGAAAGCAACTTCACTAACTGTAAATAAATGTATTTTTAAATATCTCTACTTTCACACTCTTCATGAAACTAAATGTAAACTAAACAGTGACACAAGGTTAACCCAACGGGTCACTAGTGGTCTAGTTATTATCATAATACTCAGGGCCAGTGGATGGGTCTCGTACCCACCACCCCCGCTCCGAAATTATGATACCCCCTCGAATCTATGATACGGTCACACCACTCTATTACATCTCAATTTTCATAAGGTAGTATTCATATAAAATACAAATTTTATTGTAACCTAATTATGTACAACAATGGACCATATGCAGTATAAGTGAACAATAAAACCAGAAAAAGTGAAAATAAATCTAATGTCTCTAAATACAAATTAGAGACCTGTCATAATAGATCATTCCATTTTAAATAAATCGACAATATTTTGTGTCAATTTTTAACATCAACTTCAAATTTTTCTTGTTAAAAAGTTGAATAATTTTAACGCATTCAACATTATGGATAAAATATAGTGAATTTTAGATAGTGTGTTTTTATCGGGACTTAGCATGAGAAAAACAAATTCACGAATTTGGACGAAAAAACCGCAGAATGACGTCAAAATACGTGAAATTTTTTCATCCTTTAATAGTCAGTTGTGCTTAATTTATAACATATAAATGTAGGCCGAAAAAAATGCAAATGTTGATAAGATAGCGAGAATCACAAAGCATTGCCCGGAGCCCACAATCAGGCCCCCCACCAACCCGGTCGGAGCTTCGGTGGTAGTACGCGCCGGTTCTGCCTAGACGGGTGACTGCTTGGGAATACCAGGTGCTGTAAGCTTGGATGTGCCGGTGGTGTAATAAATAACGGTTTGAAATTGGAAATCGGAGAGCCGAGTTCCAATTCCAGTTAAGTTTGCTATATTCACTTACGCTCAAATATCTTTGCGAAATGTTTGATTCTACTTCTTCTCCCCCAGCTATGGATTAATTAGTAAAACTTTTATCACAATACCATTATGTTTTTTTTC